AGATCTTATTTAATACCAAGATTTACTAACTTTTGGGATACCAGGGATTACAAGGCATAGGCCAGGCAGAGGAAGGCCTGGAACAGCTGGCACTTGCACTGCTGCTTGAGGTTGAAACCCAAGGCAGAAGTGAGCAGTCACCACACACAGCAGGGAGCACTGAGGTTATGAAACATCTGTATTTTACACTCATACAGTTACATAGCATGGGTGATGTTTCTGGGAAACAAACCCTTATTAATCCCTAGATTCTAGATTTATTACCATATGTAATCCTAAAGCCAGAAAGATCCTGCAAAGAACATTGTATAAATGAGAACTGTCCTCCTAGCATTTGGTCCAGAGGTGCCCAGATTTTCTTGTTTTACGGTGCCCTAGTGTTTTAGTAATATTTTTCATATTTGCTCCAGGGCCAAAAGGAATACCTAAGAGTTTTGTTAATTAATTAGCTACTTTGAAACAATTCAATTAGTAATTATGTCCTAACAGTTTTGTTGCTGTTTGTTATATAATATTTATAAATTTGGAAGAAGATATTTTATTTCATTCTTAAATATTATTACTTGTTAATGGATTATATGTTCTTTGGGGCATTGCATAGCCTCTTAAACCTTGGAGTGTAGATACCATCACCACCTCCTCATATCATTCCACATTGATGTTGTTGATACCTTTTTTATCACAACTACCACCCAAAATCCCAACTCCACAAAGGATATCATTGAAAGGAATGAAGTGCAATGTAATATTGAAGATGGAAGCACAAGTGGTTTTGGGATGCTTGACAAATGTCAGGTGTAACTGATTCTTAGAAGGATTTAAACATCCTACAGTGCCCCAGGGTACTTGAATGTATAGTTTGAAAACTACAGCATTAGCCTGTGTCAATTTGTTACTGGAAGGTAAACAAGTAGATTAGACCAAGTCATTTCTTTTTTTCTCCTGGTACAAGTCCCTTACCACTTGCCCGCCCGCCCTCTACCCCACCAACCACCATGTGGAATGTTAGCCATTCTATTTCCTTCTCTGTAAAACAGGATGTTTTAAACTACTTAATTAAATTTTTGAGAATTTTATTTAATTTTAAGATTTAATATTTCTGTTATATTTATTTTGCTTAATTTATTTTTATTTAGTACTTTTACAAAAATTTTCAAAGTTACTGGTAAACATTCATAGTACTCTTTAATAAGCTTTAGTATATGCTGCATTTGATTTCTATTTGTCTGCCTTATTTTTTGACTCACCTTGCAGTAATTTCATTAGTCTTCCAATTTTGACCTTCATTCCTTTTACTTAACACTTTATTACTTCCTACATTTTATTTTATTAGGGGTGATTCTGATGTCTTTTTCCAAATATTTTGAGTCCTTATTAAACTTTTTTTTCTTGGTTATTTGTATTTGAGCTATAAATTACCAGAATGCTTTTTAAAATATTGATTTATTTGGTAGAAGATTGTTTATGGGTAGATTTGCTCATCCTCAGTTTTTTTTCTTTGCTTACATATTTTGAAGCTGTATTACATGGCTGATTCAGGGTTAAGAATTCTGTCGTGTGGGGGGAGCTTTTGCAGATTTCTACATTCTTGCCTGAAGTCCATTTTGTGTGAATTTTAACTACCAGTTTTCTTTTGATTAGTGTGTATTTTCTATTTTACTTTAAAAATTTCTCCATATTTGTTTCATGCATATCTCTTATAAGCAGCATATAGCTGAATCTGTCTTCTATACAATATGGTTATTAATACTTTTTTTTAAAAAACATAAAGGATTCTGGTTGATCTGAAAAATGAAGTTTGGTATCAAAAATGTCATGACCCTGTGTGCAAAGCAGAAAACTTCAAATCTGACTGTGAGTAATTCATTTTTTCATTAACAATAAAGTAAAAACTAGATATCTGTCTATAATAGTTTTTCTATATCTGTATAATAGTTTGACTGTCTTTCTGATTCAGATTTTCCATTACCTGCTGAAGTCAGTCTTCTGTTTCTTCTCAAACAGGTAGGTGCAGTTTTTCATCTTTCTCATTACTAATTGGTTTTTGGCATAGTAGAATAAGTGAGCAGTCTCCAGATACCTTTTAAACAGAATGGTACCTGTTTTCACTTAGGAATATAGTGTAGTGATTTTCCCATCTTAGCACACATCTGATAATTTTTATGTCATTGCTGCATAAGAAATTATATAATCAATTTATTTAACTAGTCCCAGATGCTTCGAAAGTTTCTCATTTTCACTTTACAAAAAGTAAATCAAAGTAGCCATCTTTTTGTTTCTTTGAACAACCATGGCTATAGGATTAATTTCTAGAAGTAGAATTGCACCAAAGAATATATACAGTTTTAGTTTCGATAGCTATTATCAGACTGCCAAAGCAGCATTTTTCTTTGGTCTTTTATTTACTCAAGTGATTCATTTTCAGTGTAGAAGAAAAATAGAAAATACATACAAAGGGGAGAAAAATCTTCCCCACTCATAGTTTGACCTGATGTGAAATTTTAGCATACATCTTCCAGAATTTGTATCTACACCTGTTCGTGTATATTTTTATAAGTCATAATACACAAACTATTTGGTAGGGTTTTTTTCCCCCTAAAGTGTCACAAATGTATTCAACAAAACCTGTTATCAAATTGCTGTCCATAAAACAGGAAATCAGAGTTCTATAAAAAATTGGACACCTAATAACACTACTTTCCTTTCCCAACACTGGATGTTCACCTTCTATTCTTTGTTAATGAAGTCAAACTCTTCCCATATTTACTATTTGTATTTCTATTATGAATTGCATATCTCTCCTTTGTCCATTTTTCTATGACATTAATGTTTTATAAGAAATTTTATTAGAAGTTGAACCTAGAGTGCTTTACCACTGAGCCACATCTTGAGCCCTTTTTATTTTTATTTTGAGACAGGGTCTCATTGAATTTCTCAGGGCCTTGCTAATAAGTTGCTGAGGCTGGCTTTGAACTTGTGATCCTCCTGTTTTAGCCTCCTGAGTTGCTGGGATTACAGGCATGAACCACCATACCCAGTTGTCGTGTTGTACTTTTAAATCTTACCTTTGTCTTCTGGGTCATATCTATGAGCACTTTTATACCATTATGGTTAGAATAAATTACTTGCTATAAGCTGAACAAGTGCTTGAGTTTATAGTCTAGAAAACCCACATTATCTATTCAATTAAAAATTATCTTAAAAAATTATCTCCTGAAATAACTCATGTCTCCAAGTTTAGAATAGTGGAAATCCTAAGAGCTGGATATAAAAGAACCAACACCTCCAAATACTCTGCCAAATTGCCTGGTTTGAAAGTGTTTATAAATAACTAAGAACTAATTTTAAAAAATGAAATTGTGTCTCTTAGGAGGAGGAGGGATATGTCATCCTTGATAGGAGTGTTATTTTGATGACTGGTTTCAGCTGATTTTTAAATTTATTTTTCTGCTTATTTGAAAATACCACAAATATGACAAGTTGAAAGTACTTTTGGCATATATAGTTGTTACCATTACTTGGACACAACTTATTTTGGCTATTATTTAAGATAATAAAGCAACAATATGATGAATACCCATATAAGTATCACTTAAGCATTTTATCATTTCTGCTTAAAATCTTTTAAAAATATTCTAAATTATTATATTATTGGTGTTATTTATCACTTTTCTATAACATTATCTTATAGCTTTTAAAAAGTAAAGAAAATTTCTAACCTGCAAATACCGCATGAAAATAAGTGATTCTCCTGGCCCAACCTTCACCTGGATTTGCCATTTGTTGACATTTGGCTGCCTTCCTCCCTCTAATGTACACATGTATTACTATTTTTGATGAATCTCAAGAGTAAGTTGTAGATATTTAAACCCTTCACTTCTTAATTAAGCATGTTCATGAAGAATAAGGACATTCTTACATAGCTATGGAAAAAATTTTAAATTCAGGAAATTTAACATTGATGCAATATGCTATCTAATATACAACCCAAACATATTTGGACAATTTTCTTCCAAACCATGTTTACAATTTTTAATATACTTTGTAAATTAGAGAAATAAATCTGTTGTGAAGATAGCAAATATATTTTCTAATCTGTCTTTAGCTGGATTAGCCACTTGTTGTAAAATCAAATCGACCTTTGTTGTAGCCCAGTCTGGGAATATTGAAAAATGTCAAGGAACTGCAGGCAACTTAAAATTTGGAATTTCAAGAGTGTCTGAGCTACAAAGGCAACACCTTTGAGTTAATACACTCATCCCATGACTATACTAGAGACAGTTCATCGAGCATATTCACTGTACTAACTGTTGAAGAACTGGTCCTTACTTCATCCCTTAACATAGATTCAGAGTATGGTGAAATTGTCGCATATTGCATCTAAATAACTTTTATCTTCCCATCTTCTTCCCCATTGAAATAAAGGAAGAAGAGTTTACAGAAGATGAAACTGGGCACAATGAAACCAAGAATCCTCATGAGCTCCCGTCAACAGCAGGTGCATCTGCCTATGCTGACTGGGATAATGGCACTGATGATGCTTGCTTTTTAGAAGCAACCGAAGATGCTGAATTAGCTGAAGCTGTAGAGAACAGTCTTCTTACTTCTCATAGTAGTACAGAGGATGAAATTCCCGATGAACTAATTATTGAGGTATTTCAAGAGTAGCTCTCTGTGGACAGTGCTTACTATCCAGGCAAAAATTTGCCTGAAGTCTGAGATTTGATAACAGATTTATTAAATTAGGCCTCGGAGTGCAGCTCAGTGGTAGAGTGCCTGCTTGTCTAGCATGCAAAGGCCCCAAGTTCAATCTCCAGCTGCACACAAAATAATTATGTTAACTTATTAAGTCTGTTTATATCAATTGTGTTTTTATCACTTTATCTTCCAATTTGTTATTTACTAAAGTAAACCAGTTTTATTGAAAATTGGCTTTGGTGTTTTTAAACTCATTCAATAGACATCTCATTAACCAAAATTGGTCTGTGTTCACAATGACATAATTTTAAAAGTTTATTTATAGATTAATACTCATGTCTGGGTTTTAATATCTGGGGCTGATTAAAATAAGGTATTAGCATTTTATTATCAGGAAAGATGACTATGGCTTCTAAGACAAACTTGTTTCATTTATTTTAGTGATTAAGTCATACTTTTAAAAAAGTTTGAGATGTGTTATGTAGGTAATATTTCATAGACTGGTCTTCTCATTCCTGGCCAAGGAGCTTTCCTAATTGATGATTGATATTTTGCAGATGGTTTTCAGCTCCCAGAAGTGTTCTGGCTTTAAATAACAGAGCTGGAAGGCTGGATGAATCATACTGTTGAAGACAGAAAATTATATAAGTTCACAAATATTAAATAGTTGACCAATGTCGATAGAACAATTTTTGATAGAACTTTTGATAGCTACTTCTTTCATTTTTTAACCAAGATCATTAAGAAAATTGGCTTTAATTCACTCTGTAATATAAAGTTACAAGGGAACCACTCTATAAAGCTCAAACTGATCTATTTATCCAATATGAATAGTTGGTTCAAGGAGAACTGCAGCATTGGATTAAAACAAAATCATGCCTGTGACAGGTAAACAACTGCTCTGGGCAAGTGTGCTAATCTGAGGTGGGGTTTGTTTGATCTCATATCTATTTTAAAACACACAAAAAAGTAAGGTAGGTATTTTTTACTGCAAGAACTGATGGAATGAGAACACCAAACTTATTATAAAAGTTTATAATAAAAATCCAAAATATCTAGAAAAATTGGGAGGATCAGTTAAATGTCTTAATGGGTTAAGAACATTTGAATTGCAACCTTTAAGTTACAGGTTTCAATTATGTAAATATTTCAGTGAAACTGACATAGGTGCATTAAAATGGGTTGGAAATTGAATCTGTAGAGTTTATATATTGTATAGTATAATAACTACATTACATTGTATAATTATATGTTACTTAATTGATCATATTTAAATTTTTATACATGTTTTACTGCTTTGGGATTTTTCTACTCCTCTAGCTTTCATTGAATAGCTAAAAAAAGATATATAATAGATTTTCATTGCTTTATATTATGCTGTTCATTTGTCTTAAAGCTTCTAGTACTACATAGCATGGAAATACCCTTCATCATCTAAAGCACAATAAAAAGTAAAAATCCAACTTACCATTTCTTTTATGTTTGGTTCTTTCTCTTGAACAACTGAATAATCATGATAAAGCTGTTTTAAATTAGATAAGAAATACACTGCATTCCTAAGGGATGACTTTCTCTCCTCAAGTTCATCATATTTTGTTTGTAGTTGTTTTAGTTGTGGTTCTAACCTAGAACAAAAATAAATTTTTCCACAAAATAAACATATAGTGAAGTGTAACAGGCTACAAAGTATGAGACTATGTATTTAGGTATACTGCATTAAGTATGAAAAATTAGGGGAGGTAGACTAGATGATTTATCTTTGGATCTGACAAAGATAATTGAAAAAAATGAAAGGAGTACTAGGTTTAAATTTTCTTTGTAGGAAAAACCCTCTGACCTGTGATATACAATGAATAATGAACAATGACACCCAGAAGAATATGCCTTACATATGCTAAAATTCATCAATTCAGTCCAGACTTGGGAGCTATGAATTAACCTGTAAACTTGGTTGGCATTTTATAGTCTCAGGCAGGAGTAGCCAGGCATTGTAGTTTTAACTATGGACAAAAACTTTCCCCTTCTTATCAAAATCCTGTCCATTTTCCAAGGTCTAGTAAAACTAGTGGGAAAACTATCATAGTACCTGGATGAAAAATGTGGACCTTGGACCAACTGCTTCACTTCTTAGTGGTTTAGTTTGTTTACCTATAAAATAAGGGATAATTTAGGTTTTATGGGCCAAAATGAGGAGGAAAGGCTGCCAATTTTAATTTTTCCCAAATATAGAAAAAACTGTCCTCTACTATGATTTTATAAAAGTCAAGTCCTCTGCTTCCAGTTGCCACACTCTTCCACCACAATGTTCTGCCTCCCCTGGGCCCAGAGCAATGGAGTTGGCCAACAATGGGCTGAACCTCTGATACTGAGCCAAAATAATCTTTTCCTCCTCTTAAAAATAATAAAGAAAAGCCCTTTTTAACAGTCCTTCACATTGAACAAATTCAGCACCCATCAGCAAACTGACTTCTGAACTGGCAGGATTATGATCAGGAGTCAGAATTACAATCAGCTGACAGCAGAGTCTTGCTCCCCCACTTCCTAGGGGTTTGACTGTGTTATTATTCCTCTGTGCTTTGGGGTTTTCACATGCAAAGTTAAAAACATGATATACTACACTTATTCTTACTATATATTTTCGAAATATACTTCTCCAACTTCTAAAATTATACCTAGAAAAGGTATAAAAACTCTTTAAGTCTGAGTGGTCTCTCATGACAACAAAGCAGAGCCTCATTACAGAATTCACATCACCTACTTCATAGGATGATGACTAATAGATTTGTAGAAAGTGCCCTGCCTCAGAGGAAGCTATTAAGTGTTATTATGTTACCTTAAGTTTCTAATTTGGGGCTGTGCCAATGGAAACTTTATATGGGTCAGCCCCTGTCCCTAGACAAAATGTGGAAATCAAGGGAAGAAATTTATTAACTAGTCCATTATTAAATTCTTAGGGCATTCTCTTCTTTAAAACTCAGTACTTTACTGGGGACTGAAATGGGGCCAGTTATGTTATATGAATTTATTAATATGTCAAAGTGAACTCACAATTATGTAAGACAATAGTGCACTAATAAAAAACCAACCTAGTACTTAATTACATCTTTCCTGATAATATCACATTCTTTCTCAGGCTGTGTGTGTGTGTGTTTTGGGGATCAAACCCAGGGCCTTGCTTCTACTAGGCAAGCAGTGTACTTGAGAGACTGGGCTACATCCCCAGCCCTCTCTATTTTAAAACTCCTTAAAAGCAGAGAGCATAGCTGATTCTACTTTATTCAAGCCTCCAGCTCAGTCCTGGCCTCAGAAGAGCAGCAGAAAATGTGTGATCCTGTATTCTGAACCAGCCTGGGGGACTGCCTTGGCCTGCAAAGCCTGTGAGGTTTTTCTGGCCCAACAGTATGGATTTACACAAATGCCGCTCCAGGGTATACATTTCTGTGGTAACAAAGAACACTTCATGTGTGTTAGCCATTATGAAGCACTTTTCTAGAGATTCACTCAATTCCTATAACACGCTAAGATACAGGTGGTATTATTATGCCCACATAAAAAAGATGAAACTGAGATACTGGAAAGGTAAGTAACTTGTCCAACACTGCACAGCCAGTAAATGGCACAAACTGGATTCAAACCCAGCCGTCTAATTCTAAAGACTATGCATTAAACCTCTTAAGCAGGCTGTCTTGGGCCAGAACTGAGAGAGAGTGGGAAACAGAGCAGTGCTGAATTCTCTTGTGCTAATTGGTTCTGCAGCTAGGCAACATAACCTGCCTTCCATGACCATCTGAGCTCAAAGATAACCTGGTGCTTTTAATATGACACTCCACCAAATGACACACTATACTACTGTCCTTTTAAGTTCTCAACCAGGATTTTGGTATTATCTTACCGAAGAAGTTCATCTTGGACTTCAATGAGACGCTGCCTTTTTCTTTCAATATCAGAAGTCATCTAAGTAATACAATAATTTGTTAAATTAATGTAAACATTTAAACACTGCCACAGACATCGTGCCAGGTACTGGAAGAGCAGCAGGAAACAGAGAGACTAGGTGTGGCTTAGTGGGCAGTTTTTAGGTTACTGGAGTGTGCCCTTAGGAAACTGTAGGAACCCAGTCCCCTGCTTGCTCTCTTGTGCTCGCTGGCATGATGTTATGGGGTTTTGCTCTGTCACACACTCTCACCATCATGTGCTGCCTCGCCATAGGCCCCAAACCAACAGGTCAACTAGTCATGGACTGGAACCTCCAAAACTACGAGCCCAAATTAACCTGTTCTAAGTTGATTATCTTAGGTATTTCACTATAGTGATAGAAGGATGACTAACATAGATCCCCATTCTTTATCTTGCATAACATTTCTCTACCTTAATCAACCACAAGATCAACCAAATAAAAGACTAAAAAAGATAAAAAATTGTATACGAATTCCAAGATTTGTACAAATTAAAAAAAAAAAAGTCTTATCTTTACTTAACTCTTTATAGTCAAATAATACTGACAGATATTTTTTTTTTTTTTTTTTTTGGATATCGGGGATTGAACCGAGGGACACTTGGCCACTGAGCCACATCCCCAACCTTACTTTGTATTTCATTTAGAGACAGGGTCTCATTGAGTTGCTTAGGGCCACACTTGCTGAGGCTGGCTTTGGACTCGCAATCCTCCTGCCTCAGTGTCCTGAGCTGCTGGGATTACAGGTGTGTGCCACTGTACCTGGCTTGTTTGTATAATTCTAATCACATAGTGATTTACCTTAGCATTCTTCCTTTTCAGATTTTTCAACATGTGGGCTTCTTTAAGCTACACAAAACAAAAAATAAGCAGATGAATTTTTCCAAAGTTAAATGTTACAGAGTGTTATGGTTTCGATATGAGGTGTCCCCCCAAACCTCTGGTTAACACAGAATAGTCAGAGGTTAGATTGAAATGATTGGATTTTGAGAATGGTCCATCCTGGTTTGAATGACTAGGTGGCACCTCTAGACAGATGGGGCATGGCTGGAAAGGTTCATCTTCCCTGCAGCCCCCTGCTCTCCCCCTTTCCTCTGCTACCCTGCGGCCATGAAGGGAGCAGGCCCTGCACTTCCCTCATGCTGTTCTGCCTCACCTGGGCTCAGAGCAGCAGAGTCAGCCATGGATGAACAAAGATCTCTGAAACCATAAGCCCCAAATAAACTTTCCCTCCTCTCAGTTGTTCTTGTCAGGTATTTTGGTTACAGCAAAACAAAGCTGAATGAAACACTTAGTTTCATATGTAGTTTATAATAGTTTTTAGTTTAAAAACAGCATGTAAAATGTGGGTAGCTCTAATGTACTGTTATCCTATTGAGAATAAGTGCAAGCTTTTCTAAGACAACAATGTGCTGCCCCAGCATTAAAAAAATTTAGAGCAACAAATTCATGTCAGTAAGCTTACCATTCTGATGAGTTCTTCTTTAATATTAAAAGAAAATTTGTTGATGGCTTCCTTACAAATTTTAGATTCTACTCTTTGTCTGTAAAGGAGTCAAAAGGGAAAAAAATCAAACTAGGTATTTAAAGATTTTGAAAGGTGTGCTTCATTTGCTTAGGGCATAAACACACAATGTGACATATACTACTGTACATATCTAAGATGACAATATTCAACTTGTAGCCCTTTCTCAGACTCAAAAAACAAAACTGGAAACGTTTCAGCAGGAAATTTTTTTTTTCCTCCTAAACCTTCTGGTGCAGTCATTTAATTCCCTGGAATAAGCCAAGTCCACAGTGATACCAAGTAATGTAGAAATCCTTAAAGCAAATCCTGGCTTTTTCCTACTACCTGATCTATTGACTAGCAGACTTTATCCTGGGCAGCCACAAGTTATCTGCCAGTGTCTCAGAAACTATAGAGCTGACCACTCAAAGAAAGTGGTTTGGGCCCTTGCCACAAGGGAGGAGAGATGTGGTGGCCATGCTCTTGTTCCCCAGGTGGGAACACTCTTGGCTGGAAAGGAGACTCACTGTGACTGTGTTCCAGCAGCAGCAGACACTCTGCTAGGTCTCTGGCCCATTAATTTTTTGTCATCTTATTGTTGGGTCCTAAGAGTTCTTAGCATACTTTGAATAACAGTCCTTATCAGACATCTTTTGCAAATATCTTCACCTATTCTGTGGCTTATCTTTTCATTCTTGAAAGTGTCTTACATGGAAGAAAAAAAGTTATTGAGGTTTGGTTTATCAATGCTTTCTTTTGTGGATAGTGCTTTTGGTATTATTAATTTATTTTCAAATCCAAGGTCATCATTTTTTTCTTCTCCTGTTCTAAGAGTTTTATGGTTTTGCATTTTATATTTAGGTTTATAATTCATTTTGAGTTAATATTGTTAAGCACATAAGGTCTTTGTCTAGATTCTTTTTTTCTTTTTCTTATATGCGGATACCCTACGGTTTCAGCACAATTTGTTGAAAAGACTTTTGTATCCATTTTATTGTCTTTCCTCCTTTTTCAAAGTCAGTTGACTACATTTCCGTGGGTGTGTTTCTGGGCTCTGTATTCAGTTCCACTGATTTATCTATCTATTATTTTACCAATGCCACACTGTCTTGTTTATAGCTTTATGGTAAATTTGTTGTCAGGTTGTATTAGTCCTCCAACTTTGGTCTTCCATCTTGATTTGATTATTCTCTGTTTTTTGCCTCTCTATTATAAACTTCAGAATCAGACTATTGATATCCATAAAATAACTTTCTGGGTTTTTTAATGAACTTGACATCTTAACAATATCAAACTTCTCTATCCATAAACATGAAATCTCTCTCCATTTATGCAGTTCTTCCTTGATTTCTTTAATTAGAGTTTTGTAGTTTTCTTCCTACATATTTCTACATAGTTTGTGAGATTTATGCCTAAGTATTTTATTTGGGGGATTGCTAATGTAAATGGTCTTGTGTTTTTAATTTAAAATTCCATTTGCTTTGGATAGTACATAGGAAAATAGCCGACTGTTGAATACTAACCAGGTACCCTGCAACCCTGCAGTAATCAATTTCTGGTCCCAAAAAGGTTTTTTGGTCTGTTCTCTCAGATTTTCTACAGAGATGATAGTATGATTGTGTCATCTGAGAACAAAGACAGTTTCACTTCTTTCCCAATCTATATACTTTTCCTTTTTTTGTCTTATTATCTAGGACTTCCAGTGTGATGCTGAAAAAGAATGGTGAGACGGGATAGACTTTCCTAGTTCCTGATCTTGATGGGAAAATTTCTAGTTCCTTATCATTCAGTACAATGTTAGCCATAGGTTGTTTTTTTTGTTTTGCAGATATTCTTTATCTAAAGTTAAAGAATAGAGTGGTGTATTCCTAATTTTACCAATAGTTTTTGTCATGACATGGTTATTGGATTTTTATCAAATGCTTTTCCTGAATCTATTAATATGATCATGTTAATTTTTCTAAACACGATTTTCTAAAGTTGAATTAACTTTGCATACCTACTTGGTGATGGTGTCTAATTCTTTTTCATACATTGTTGAATTCAATTTACTAACATTTTGTTGTGAATATTTCCATCTATTTTCATGAGAGATAATGGTCTATTTTTTTTTTTTAATAATGTCTTTGATTTGAGTAGAAGGTGATGCTGGCCATACAGAATGAGTTAGGAAGTATTCCTTTTGCTTTTATCTTCTGAAATATTGAAGAGAAATATCTAATTTCTTCTTTAAAAATGTGGTGAAATTCACCAGTGAGTCCATTTGGGTTTTAGTGACATCTGTTTGGGGGGAGTTGCTATTGATTCAGTTTTTTAAAATACTGACCTATTCACATCACCTATTTTTTCTTTTGTGTGTCAGATTGTGTCTTTCAAAGAATTTGACGACTTCATCTAGGTTATCAAATTTGTAGCCATACAGTTGTTCATAGTTTTCCTTTATTATCCATCTACTATTCATGCAATTTACTATAGTGATGACCCCTCTTTCATTTCTGACAGTAGTAATTTGTGTTCTCTTTTTTCTCTTAGCCTGGTTAGAGGCTTATTGATCTATTCTGATTTTCTCAAAGAACAAGTTTTTGATGTTGATTTTCTCTATTCTCTATTTTAAACTTCATCGCTTTCTACTCTGATTTTTATTCTTTTCTTCTAAAGATTAACTTTGGCTTTAATTTGCTTCTTTTTCCTAATTTCCTAAAGTGAAATGTTAGATGATTGAGGCACTGATTTGTTGTAGTTTCATTTTCGCTTAGTTCATAATATTTTAAAATTTCTCTTATGATTTCTTCTTTGACCAGTATGTCTGTTCATTAGAAGTGTGCTGTATACTCTCCCAACATCTTTGAGATTTTCCAGCCATCTTTCTGGTATTGATTTCTAATTTGTGGTCTGTGAGCAGAATATGATTTCTATTTCACTCTGGTAAAGTGTGTTTTATAGAATGTGGTCTATCTTGGTGAATGTTTCATGTGTGCTTAATAAATATATGATTTCTTCTGTTGTTGGATGAAGTAGTTTACAGATTCCCATTGCAGGTTAAGCATCCTTATCCAAAATCTGAAATGCTCTAGTAACTGACATTGAGTAGACATGACACTAGATGTAAGTTATAGATTTCAGAGCATTTCAGATGTCCAATTTTCAGGTTAGGGATGTTCAACCATAAAGCATATGTAAATATTCCCAATTTAAAAATGCTGAAATATGAAACACTTAATGTTCCAAGCATTTCAGATAAGGGATATCCAACCTGTACATTGTTTTTAATCTAACATTTATTTTTTATTCTTCCTTAGAATTTACGACTCTGGTTATGTTCCCCGTCTTCTCCAACAAAGATGTACAAATGGTCATCAAGTATATAAAAAGATGCTACACAATACTAACCACAAATCAATGCCACTTACATCCATTGGGTTAACTATTATAAAAACACATCAACAAAAACCTAAAAAACAGATGTTGGTGAGAATGTGGAGAATTTACGGAAGACATAAATTAATGGAATGACATCCCATGCTTATAGATTGGAAGACAAAATATTGCTAATATGTCCATACTACCTAAAACAATCCACAGATTCAACATAATCCTTAGCATAATACCAACAACATTTTTTGCATAAATAGAATATCCTAAAATTAAAAGGATCCCAAAAGTAGCCAAAACAATCTTAAGAAAAACAGCTGGGACCTCATACCTTCTGATTTCAAAACATACTACAAATTTACAGTAATCAAAACAGGATGGTAGTGGCAGAATGACAGACACAGACCAACAGAACAGGACATAGAACCCAGAAATAAACCCTCACGTATCTTGAGGGTTTATGATCTTTGACAGGGTGCTAAGGTTACACAAATTGGCAATAATAATTTCTTCCAACAATGGTGCTGGAAAAAGTGGATCCACATGCAAAAGAATGAAGTTGGACCCTTACCTTATACCATATACAAAAATCAACTCTTAAGTATATTTTAAGTACTAAATGGAAGAATCTGAAATTTATAATACTCCTAGGAGAAAAGCTTCATGACACTCAATTTAGCAATAATTTCTAGCATATGACATCAAAAAACATGAGAAACAAAAGAAAGAATAGACAAACGAGTCTACATCAAACTTAAAAACTTCTGCACATCAAAGGAAACAATAAGGCAATGAAAAAAGGCAACCCACAGAATGAAAGGAAATAATGGACCAAGTACTTGAATAGACATTTCTCTAAAGAAGGTATGTGAATGGCAACCTTACAGAAGGGAAAATGCTCACCTACACTAACCATGAGGGAAATGCAAATGGAAACCACAATTTTACACCTACCAAGATGGCAATTATATGTGTATGAAACAGGTAAGTGTTAGCAAGAATGTGGAGAATTGGAATTCTTGTGCACTGATGATGGAAATGTAAAATGGTGTAGTTCTGTGGAAAACAGTATGGTAGTTCCTCAAAACACAGAATTACCATACAGTCTTCTGGATATAGACACAACAGAACTGAAAGAAGGGACACAGATATTTGTACACCAAAGTTCATGGCATTATTCACAATAGTCAAAAGGTGAGAATGCATGTGTACTGGTGAATGAATGGATAAAGAAAATGTGAAATACATATGCTGAAATATTATTCAGTCTTAAAAAGGAAGTATATTCTGACACATGCTACATCATGGAAGAACCACAAAAACATTAAAATAAGCCAACTGCAACAAAACAGAACAAAAACACTATATGACTCCACTTACATGAGTAGTCACATTTACAAAGAAAGTGGAATGTCATTGCTGAGGAGGAGAGAGAAATGATGAGTTGTTTAAAGGGTGCAGAATTTCAGTTTTGCAAACTTAAGTTCTAGAGATGTGTTATAACAAGATGCATATGGTTAACACTACTATATACTTAAAAATGGTTGATGATACATTGTTATGTATTTTTACCTCAATATGAAAATACTTCTATAATCCACAACTATCAGAATAGTTATAATACAAAATAGTATTCCAAATATGATTTCACTGATGAATTGTTAATAAGCTCTGCTAAATCTAAGATTATGACATTGGCATTGGGGTCCCATGCTGTGGCTCATGGGGAAGTCCCTCTTTGGGTAGAAGTCTAGCTTTCCTAGACATTTTCATGACATCTCTTGGGCTGAATGGCAACCTTCTTTCTGAAGGCACATGTTAGGCGTCATGGTTTAGATATCACAAAAGCTGATGTGTGAGATAGTGCAAGAAAGCTTAGAGATGAAATGATTGGGTTATGAGATCCTTAACTGTGGGAGGCCATCCTCGCATGTGATTTGAGTTGCCTCCCTGGCTGGGTGAGAGGCGCTTAAACACAGCTGTGTTGGAGCCATTCCCCACCCTTTCCCAGGTCCGAGGGCTGGTCCATGCAGAGGCGTGCCTGGCCACTGACCTGAAGACCCAATCACCGCCCCTGACTTTGGGATGCTGCACCCCTTAACCTTCATTGGATGGGATTTTTCCCTTAAATTTTTTGTTCCCCAATAAAAGCTCACTCCCTGGCGTGCTCTCCCTCTCTCTCTAGTCTCTTCTGTAAACCTCGCCACCGCATTAGGTGGCTGAAGGCGGGAGCTAGGAGAAGCCGTCTTGGAGCTGGGGTTAAAGGTAATGAGAGTCTGTCTCTTTAATTTAAAACTCACCAGTAATTTCTTATGAACAAAACCTTCTTTCATGAAGCTGGTGGTGTGGCAGACTTAACCTAATCAGCGTGTTACTTCACTTGAATGAATTAACTGGGTGGTAGGTGGAGGTAGGTCTCTGGAGGAATGCCTTTGGGGCATATATTTTGTCCTTGGTGAGCAGAGTCCTCCCTCTGCTTCCTAGTGGTCATGTCCTGCGCTGCTTTCCTCCACCACATTCTTCCGCCCTAGTGTTTTTTCTGCCTTATTTCTGGCCCACAGCAGTAGAACCAACCATGGATTGAGACCTCTTAAACTGTAAGCCCCTGTATGTTGTTCTGGTTGGGTCTTTTGGTCCACACTGATGAAAAAGCTGACTAAAACAATGGCCCAAAATCCCCCAGGGCAGTGTGGGACAAACTAAGTCTTGGGGCAGAACTGAGGGATATCCCTGGTTTAAACAGAGGGGCTCCGAGAAGTTCCTCTGTTCTTGTTATTTCTTCTTTCCTTGTGTCCTCCCCAGCACTGTGTTGTAGTCTGTGCCTTCTGCTTCAAGCCTCCGTGTCTCCTGAGCTGCCAGTTCTTTATTCTTCCTCTGAATCCACACCCCATCCTCTGACCTCACTGCTGTCCTCCCAGACACTACTCTCATAGAGGCCAGTGATGTTCTCAGGGGTAGCTGGCTGAACCACATCTCAGGCTTACTCTGCCAGTTTGCATTTTTTTGGTGGTGCCGGGGATTGAACCCAGGGCCTTGTGCGAGTCGAGCACTCGACCAACTGAGCTATATCCCCAGCTCCTGCAGTTTTGATAATACCTTTTTTTTTTTTTTCCCACCTCAAGGACTTCAGGAAAGAAAAGAAAACAACAACTACAATAATGAAAAACAAGAATAAAACTGGGGCCTGTGCTTGTAAAGTCCGGAGAAAACACAGGTGGAGAATGACTTTGTGTAGCTGTTTTTTCACTGTCTCCCACCAACCCCCCAGGCTGGAGAATGACAATCAAAGGGCTGTTGACTCTTGAGGCTGTTTCTCTCTGGACACAGGGTGAAGTCCTGACCTGATGGGCTATTCTGCACGATGACTGAGGGCTCAAGCCCAGGGGCTCATGTACCTCCAAACCTTTCAATCATGGGAGCTGACAGGCCTTTTACAATCTGACCAGAAGCCAACAGCCACAGAGGGCAACAAACTCAAAGGCTAAAACAACAACATACGGGGAATGCACTATTTCAAAATGGAACACATGTTAGATAGGAAATATATTTTAGACAAGATGCTTCAATAGTTTGAAATTAGCCTAATAAATATAATGTAATAGATATAAAAATATCTATAGTGCAATGATAGCGAAAACACTACATATCAAAAAATGGTGCGATGAGCAGAAGAATGCTTCAGGGGAAATTCATCAGGTCATATATCACAACATCAGAAGACTTACTTATATTCTACAATGGTTTTCTCAAATGCAGACAAAACAATATCCAATTCCATGATGTCTCTGGTCTTCCTCCCTTCTAGACACCAAATATGCACACTTTCGGAAGTATCTAGAATATTAAGATAAGTCAATTGAATACACTGATTTTTCGTAATTTGGCTTTAGGTCAAAGGTTCTGAAAATAAAAATAGTCCTAGCAAATTGCTAGAGACCTATCACCAAAGAATCTGGGAGAAGCCATACTTCTTCCCATCCAGGCATAGTCCCACAAACCCATCTAAGCTCTCACTCTTACTACTGTCCACCTGGTTCTCCCATTTTGGGGGGTAGGGAAGTAGGGGAATTGAACTCAGGGGCACTTGACCACTGAGCCACATCCCCAGCCCTATTTTGTATTTTATTTGGAGACAGGGTCTCACTGAGTTGCTTAGGGCCTTTCTATTGCTTAGGCTGGCTTTGAACTCAAGATCCTCCTGCCTCAGCCTCTCGAACTGCTGGGATTATAGGCATGTGCCACCACACCTAGTTCAGTTCTCCCATTTTTGCACAAGTAATCAAAAGCATCGCTGCCTTTAATTACCTTGCTGGGCCTTTATTGAATAGTCTGCTATTATCTAACAACATAACTAGTGATAAACATCTCTCAGTTGTATTTTCTAAATTTTAATTAACTGGTAAGCCATGTAGAATACATCAAGACTACTGAACACATTAATTTAAAAAGTTGTAACATAGTAATATGCTGGACTAGCAATTTGAAAACCTAGGTTCTCATTTGAGCTTCTTTCTTACTAGTCTTGACACCTTAGCAAATATTTAACCACCCAGGGCCCAGTTTACTCAATAGTGAAACTGAAGAAATGAAATATGTTCTACCAACCAGGTGTGGTGGCACATGCCTATAATCCTAGTAACTCCAGAGGTGGAGGCAAAAGGATATCAAGTTCAAGGATAGCCTTGACAATTTAGTGAGAATCTCTTAAAAGGAAACCTATAAAAGGGGTGAGGATGGAGTTGAGTGGTGGAGTTCAACTTCAATTCCACAAAAATAAGTTCTGGCTTTTGTTGTGATGTTAACTCAAGTAAGAAAATACCTATGAGTACATTTACAAAAGCTATAAATTATGCATTTGTAAGGTATTATTATCAGTTAATTTTGAATGAGTATCCAAATTTTTGTATACTGTTAACAAACCAATGGAAACCAGTGACAGGATGGTCCTTTTTCCATAATTACTTCCTTATTTAATACTGCAAAGCTGATGGCATATGGATTCACACTGACCTGAGTCCAATGCTTGACCGTCATGGATTAATAACAGCCACAAATTCTTTGCCACTTTTTCCCATTTCCCTTCCTTGATGACTGGCTTGATCAATAGGACATGATGGAGTGATAGGGTACCACTTCCAAGGCCAGGTCTTAAAAAGATCTGCAGCTTCTACTTTTTCCCTCCTTATATGCTCCCTTTTGGAAGTCAACCATCATGTGAAATTCTGACTGCCAAACAATTGGAAAGCCCAAGCTAGCCACATGGAAAAAAAAAAAAAAAATCACACGCGGTAACTAACTCCATGCACGATACACATGAATGGAGCCTACTCAGACTTCTACTCAGCCCAGTCACCAAATGAAGGTAGCAAATTAGAACTGCCCAAAGTAAAACTGTGAGGTGATCAAATGGTGGTGGTTATGAGTCTATTGGCAAACTTCTGTGAAGTGCCAAATAGTAACTACTGTTGGCTTTATGAGCCAACTACTCAGCCCTACCATTGTAGCATGAATGTGTTCAAATGAATGAATCTGGCTATGTCCCAATAAAAGTTTATTTTCAACAAAAGGCAAAGGTCATATTTGGATTGTAGACTGTAGTTTTTTTGACTGTTGTTTTAAATAATAAAAGTGTGGGGTACTTTGCTATGCATTAATAGATGCCTGAAACACTGGCTGATCCCAGTTAAGGTATGCAAGCTCAGACAAGTATTTTGACCTACGTCTCAATTTGTTTATCTGTAAAAATGGGGAAAACAATAGCATCTATCCTCCATAGGTTTATTATGAGGACTGGAGTAAGGATGGTATTAAACACTTAGTGTAATGACCAGCACACAGTAAACATTCTGTTGTTTCATTGCTATTAATTTACAAACTAGAAACAGGAATTAGTAAAAGGTACTCTGTTAAGGCTTCTAGACTAGAACCACAATGCAACTCACCTCAATTCAGCCACTATCCCAATTCCCAAATCCTCGCTCAGTTAAGCTCAACTTACTAGGATCTTTGGATAAACCAATAATCTATCAAAAGTAGTCTGGCTAAGTGCGGTGACACACGCCTGTAATCCCAGCAGTTTGGGAGGCTGAGACAGGAGGATCATGAGGTCAAAGCCAGCTTCAGCAAAAGGTGAGGTGCTAAGAAACTCAGTGAGACCGTCTTTAAATAAAATACAAAATAGGGCTGAGGGTGTTGCTCAGTGGCCAAGTGCCCAAGTTCAATTTCTTGTACCAAAAAACAAAAACAAACAAACAAACAAAAAAAAAACAAAACCAAAAGAAGTCTGGTTTTTCTAAATTAAGTAATACTAAATATTTTATTAATAGTCCAAATAAAAATCTTCCTTAAGCTCTTAATAGCTTAATAGATTTTTAAAGTTTAATTAAGAACCATTATATGCAACCTGTCCACCTTATATTTTTTTTGGCGGGGAGGGGTATCAGGGATTGAACCCAGGGGTGCTTAACCACTGAACCATATCCCCAGCATCCCACCCCCCTTTTTTTTTATGTTTGAGACTGGGTCTCACTAAATTGCTTAGGGCCTTGCTAAGTTGCTGAGGCTGGCTTTGAACTTGTAATCCTTCTGCCTCAGCCTTCTGAGCTGCTGGGATTATAGGCATGCGCCACCATGCCCATTCTTTTTTGATTCAACATTTCTTATTTTGTCATTAGAATTTATTTTTTATTATGAGATATTTTATATACACAAAAACATTTATGTATGTGTGATGTAAAGATGAATAATAAAAGGAATACCCATAGGCCCACAGTAAAACTTAATAAAGAGAACATTAATAAGATATTAGGCATCCTATGTACCTCCAACTTGTATCCCCTGCCACATACTATTCTGCATTTTGCATTTATCTTATTAGTTGATTCTATAGTACATGAATATAATCCTAAACAATATAGTTCAGTTTTGCATGTTTTTGATGTTTTCATATTTATGTTGATGGACCAAAAAATATTTTACTTTGTATTTCATTCTGGTAGAAAATATACCATGACTTATCCATAATTTCTACTGTGATAGGTTTTGCTAGCATAAAAAATAATGTCAGAACACTAAAATACACGTTTCTTGGACAGGTGTAAGAACTGCTAATAAATGTAGCCACAAGCAACTATAGGTTTTGTTTGGTCTCATTTTCAACATTACCAGAGTTGCTCAGGTGATTGTAAAAAAATTCTATCTTTTTATACCTGCAATTAAGGATTTCCACTGATGGTAATCTCCATTATATATGAAATTGAGACTAAAATATTTGCCAGTCTAGTAGGTGTGACAAGGTGGCTCACTGTAGTAGTAACTTAGATTTCTATGATTAGTGATGGCTGTAGTTTGGATGTGAGTGTCCCCAAAGGCCCATGTGTTAAGGACACTATTGGGAGGTGGTGGGACCTTTGAGAGGTGAGCTCTAGTGGGGAGTCTTTAGGTCACTGGGGTGTGCACTAGAAGGAGGTTATAGGACCTGGCCTTTTCCTCTTACTCTCTTGCTTCTCCATCACACAGTGGGAAGTTTTGCTGTGCCATGTGCTCCTGCTGTGATGGACTTGCTCCTGCTGTGATGGACGGTCTCACCACAGGCCCACAGCAAGGGGGCTAACCAAACACTATGGACCTCCAAAACTGAGAGCCAAAACAAACCTTTTCTCTTAGAGGCAGTATTGTAGGAGCAGAAAGGTGACTAATACAGAGATGGATTCTTCAAAAGTTTATTCTACTCTGTTCTCTATTCAATTAAAATTTATTGATGTCATCTGCCCAATTTTCTATTTGTCTTTTTATTCATTTTTTAGGAGTTTGCTAATCACATATAGTATCTTTTTTCAGATTTTTTTTTTTTTAATTTTGTGCCTTTCTTTATGGTCTCTTATCATCAGCTACTTTTGCCAGCTGCAGCAACTTAGCAAGACCCTATCTCAAAATTAAAAAAAATAAAAAGGAATGGAGATGTACCTCAGTGATAGAGCATCCCCAGGACAAAAAATAAAAAATAAAAGTGTTCATAGTGTCTTTACTCATAATAGCCAAAACCTGGAAATGAGTCAGTTGTCCATCATAGAGATTGGATAAGTTGTGGTATAGTCATGCAGGGGAATATTACACAGTAATAAGAATGACTCAAAACAGTGTGAATGAATCTCAAGAGTATATACTATGTGATTTTATGTATAGGAAATTTTAGAGCATGCAAAACTAATCTATGGTAGAAAAAACAATCCCAAGAAATTGCCTCTGGGGCTGTGGAGGAGTGGACTGACAGATACATAGAAAAACTTTCTAGATCAATGGCAAGCATTTATATTTTGATAGTGGTTTGAGTTATACGTTTGCATTTCCCCAAACTCAGCAACGACACACCTCAGCGTTTTATATGTACATTTTGCATTGCAAGAAAAAATGGTAGACAAATATTGAACTCTTAATTATTGACATGGAAGCTAAAGTATTTCAGAAGAACTGATGTCTATAATTTATTTTAAAATACACTAAAAGTGAAAATGAATTAAAAGGTGATAAAGCAACTATAATAAAATGTCAACTCTGAAACAGCCCATGAATATAAACTCTAAAATTCTTTCAGATTTGCTGTATGTTGAAAATTTTCATGGCAATACACTAGAAAAAAATGTCACTCCAAAGTCACACATCCTTAATTTTTTGCAGTGGCAGTTTACTACTTCTACTAATGCTACTTTAAAAAATTAAAACAAATTTTCTTTCATGAATTCCTTGAATGAATGACAAAATTTGTACCTGAATCGATGGCTTCTCTTCTTGATTTCTTCCTTTTTCCAGGAGATATTTTCCCTTTTTTCTGAGTTTTCTACCGGGGGTGGGGGTGGGATTAAGAAAAATTTTTAACATAAGGATTAAGACCATGTTATCAAACTGTCAATCAATATTTAGCTATAATTCTCACCTAATTCTAAGTTATTTTTATGCTATCTAAATTAATATATGAAACACTGGGAAAATTAAAGCTTTTGGTTGATTTTTAAGAATGGCTGCAATGGGACTGGGGTTGTGGCTCAACAGTAGAGCCCACGCCTAGCAAGTGTGAGGCTCTGGGTTTGATCCTCAGCACCACATAAAAATAAATAAAATAAAGGTATATTTAAAAAAAAAAAAAAGAATGGTTGCAATGGAGGAAGTTGAACCTTTATTACTTAGGATAATAACAGTATATGGAATTAGCTCAAATTTCTGCTGCATCCATGATGAAATACCAGCTGTTATAGCTCAAGTATGAAAGAGAAAACGGCTCCCGCATTCCTTTCTGGGTTCTTTGGCTGGGATGCAATGAAACTGACATAAGAGAAAACCCATGTTTAATTACCTAACATGCATAGGAGTTCTTGCACGGAAGTCCCACAGAGCATGAGACTCGAAAGGGTCAGATGATGGAAACATATGCATCATCCCAAATTGTAGAAAGGAACAGAAATTTGGGCTTCCAAGGGATGGTGGTCACAAAAGTTACAGAAGGAAATGTATGGTGAGTAAAGGTTATCCTGCATTTAGGTAAGTCTCTCTGGGGGTGGTGGGGAGCATAGTCGGGGGCAGCTGATGCAGTTGGAATAAGCTATTCGGAGCATCAGGAGTTTGTGTGGGGGTCCCCAGAAAGTCCTCAAATAGTACTATACACACACATGAAGGGCGAGACTACAGAAAGTTTATAAGAAAGGGGTTATCGTGGGATTAACAACCTAACAGATAATAGAAGACAAGGAAATTAGATGTAGAAAATGCAGAGCTCTCAAATGGCTAACTGGTTTACTGTATTGACAAGTGGCTAATTGCAGAGCTCTCACTGACAAGTGGTCAGGCAGAAGGATCCATACTTAGGGATAAGAACTATAAACTATTAGAGCATGCGCTCTCAGACAAGACCATATTGCTCTCCATGGGGCAAAAACTGGTTCACTGTGTTTGGGGGGAGGATGATAAGGAGGAAAAATGCCTATTTAAAAAAGCTTCTTAGGACCCAGACGCAGTAGTGCACACCTGTAATCCCAGCAGTTTGGAAGGCTCAGAAAGGAGGATTGAGAGTTCAAAGCCAGCCTCAGCAACAGTGAGGCGCTAAGCAACTCAGTGAGACACTGTCTCTAAATACAAAATAGGGCTGGGGATGTGGCTCAGTGGCCGAGTATCCCTGAGATCAATCCCCAGTAACCCCCTCCCCCCAAAAAAAAACCTTCTTAGGGAGGATAAAAATGAAAACAGGTTGAGAAACACTGCCCTAGAGTAAGGCCTGTTCTAGAGCCACCCTATCAAAGCCTAAAACCAATCTCTGACCAGGTCCACCAGTGAGCCAGAGTGGAGACTATGGTGAGCAGAATTCTAAGATAACTTGGGTAACTTGTATAATCAAACTGCCCTTGAGTGTGGGTGGCACTTGTGCCTGATGGGCATTGCTCCCTTGATTGCAAGTATCACATAAGACCCTGCTGTGGTATCCTGCAGAGGTGTCTGGCTGGCTTTGAAGAGGAACAGGCCTTGCTGAAAAAGGGTCACATGACTAGTGCCTGAGGGCAGCCTGTGGAGCTGAAAGCTACACAGCTTCCAACTAGAGAGAAAATAAGGACCTCAGTCAAAATCTTAGATGAAGACCCTGAGTCTCAGATGAGATTTCAGTCCTGCCATAGACCTTGATTTCAGCTGTATGAGACCCTGAGTAGAGAATCAAGCTGAGTAGAGGGTAGACTTCTAACCTATAGAAAATGTGAGGTAATAGGGCTGGGGTTGTGGCTCAGCTGTAGAACTCTTACCTAGCACGTGCGAGGCCCTCTCAGAACCACATAAAAAAATAAAACAAAATAAAGGCATTGTGTAAAACTAAAAAGTAAATATTTTTTAAAAAGTAAAAGAAAATGTGAGGTAATAAACAAGTTGTTTCAACCTCTTTGTGTGTGTGTGTGTGTGTGTGTGTGTGTGTGTGTGTGGTGCTGGGGATTGAACCCAGGGTCTTGTGCATATGAGGTCAACCCACTACTTCTGCAGTAATTTGTTACACAGTAACTGAGAGCATATACAGAGGTGAGTCTAAAATTAGAAGTATTTAGAAAACACCTCAGGATTTTTCACAAACCATCCCCAACAAAGCCTACAGAACTTCACGATGATTAGCCAAACCTGCTAAAATAAAAGGTAACAATACTCACAAGATGACATAGAATTCAGTGCCTCAAAAACCTATCAACAACAATGTCTATTATATATCTATTAGATTAAAAATTATCACACAGGAAAATATGACCCATAGTCAAGACAGAAAAAATGCACCCAACAGAAACTGATCTGAAGAAGCCCAGATAATGCAGTTAGAAAACAAAGATTTTAAAGCAGCTATCATAATTATGTCTAAGGAGGTAAAGGAAATGATGGTCATAACTCAATAGAGAATCTCCTCAGAGAAACAGAAATTACAAGAAAAGAGCTAAATGTAAATTTTGGAAGCAAAAGCACATAGCTAGAAAGAGAAAAATCATTAGGTGGTACATCAGTTGCCTGTGTCTGCTATAACAAACTATCACAAACTTGGTACCTCAAAACAGCAGAAATTTATCCTCTGAGAGTTATGAAGACTAGAATTTTGGAAATTAGCTCCAATGGGCCAAAAAAACAGAGGCATCAGCAGGATAGCGCTCTCTCCAGGGGGCTGAGGGAAACTCTCTTTCAGCTTCTAGTGGCTGTGGCATTCCTAGGCTTAAGCCATATCACTCAATTCTTCCTCTGTCTTCACATTGTCTTCTCTGTCTAATCTTCCTCTGCCTCTCTTACAAGGATTCTTGTGAAGACATTTGGGCACACCCACGAAATACAGAGAAATCTGGAACTGGACATAGGCAAATCTTTTGGCGAGGAGCACCATTCAGCCCAATCCATATGGACTTAATTGCAAGCTATAATGGCAAAAAATAGTGAATTTGAAGACAGAACAATAAAATTCTATCCAATTTGCAGATTACAGAGAAAATAGATTTTAAAAGGACCAGAGTCTCAGGGACTTGACTAAAAATATCTTGTGATTTAAAATAAATACAACTTCAAAATGAAGAGAGCGAGAACCACAAGAAAACTGTATTTGAAGAAATACTGAATGAAATTTCCCTGATTTACAGATCTGAAAAACTCATCAAGCCCCATGTAAGATAAATACAATATAATACATAGCCATATCAAAGTTAAAATGATGAAAACTAAGGATAAAGACATAATCTCAACAACAGCCAAAGAAAAGGAACATATTAAAGATATGCTTTAAAGTAAGGGATGAGACTATGTAGCTCAGTAGTTGCCATCTTGGAGATTTTTTGTCTCTTGCAGCTTCTAGTGGCTGTGGCATTATTTTTTGCCAATATAACTTGCATGTACATGGTCAATTGGGGGGTGGTAGAGTGAAACAATTTTAGATAAACAAAATCTGAGAGAATCTGTCACCAGCAGAGAAATGCCAGATGATGTTCTATAGTCTGAAGGGAAAAGGTATTAGATAGAAATACATATTTACAAGATGGTAAAAGAACAGGAAGACAAGTGAGTAAAGACTATATTTTTCCCTTTATAATTTCCTTAAAAGATAATTGTTACAAGCAAAAATGACAACATTGTAAAGTTAGATTTATAATTTAAGTAGAATTAAAACATATGAGCAAAATGGCAGAGGATGGGGTGAATAAATGGAAATATAATGTTGTTACGTAATACATTTATATAGTGAATAGTAATTAATAGGAGAAATACATAAAGTAGTAATAAACTTTGTTAATTTAAGGATCTATATTTTTAACATACTAAAAATAAAAACTTAAAAGTGGCTAAGAAGCCAATAGAGAACAACAACAAAATAAGTAATGAAACCAAAATTAGTAACAGAAGATCAAAAATATAGAGGAGTAAATGTAAAACAAGGAGTAAGTGGGTCAACTTGAACCTAACCATGTTTAAAATTACATTGAAATAAATGTATTTTTAGAGGAGCAACAAAAAGCTAAAAAAACAGAAGGGACAGATGGAAAATAAATAACAAGACAGTGGGTTCAAAACCTAACCTATCAGTAACTACAAGTACTGGGGAACAAAATCCACCAAATTATGCTGTGTCCATGTACAAATAAATATACCACAAGGAATCCCAGCTATAATTATAGTGTACTAATTAAAATACCAGTATTAGAAGGGAGGTCAGTAGAATAAGAGGAGTGGGGGAAGGAGAAGGGGAGGGAATGTACTGTGGAATGAGATTGGTGCAGGTAGAAATATGGCTTAATAATCCTCTGTTATATATTATAATTTTAATGTACTAGTAAAAAATGATAATTTAAAAACTAAATATATCAAGCAATCCAATTAAAAGGGAGAGATTGTTAAATTGTCTATAAAAAAGATATTCTAAAGGCAAAAAAACAAAACAAACAAACAAACAACCCACAGATTGAATGTAAATGGATAAAAAAAGATTCACCATGCAAAGGAAACATAAGAAAGCACCTCTGGCCATGCTAACATCAGACCATATAGATTTTCAAGACAAAAAATATTATAAGACATTAAAGGGGAAAATTCCATAAAGATAACAGAAGCCATTCATTTAAAAGATGAAACAACTTTAAATAAGCATGTAATTAAAAACAGCTATATAGAGAATAGAATGGTGGCTACCAGAGGCCAGGGCAGGGGCACCAAGATGTTGGCTAAAGGAAGCAAGTTTCAGTTAGACAGAAAGAATATGTTTAGACTGTATTGCACAGCCTAGTGACTACAGTTAAAAAATAATGTGTATTTTGAGAAATAGCTGAGTAAATTTCAGACATTTCACCACAAAAAGATTATAGATATATTAACTTGATTTAATCATTCTTCATCATGTACATGTATCAAAACATCACATCATACCCCATATATGTACCCAATTATGAGCTCTTGATTAAAAATATTAATAAAAAGTTTTGGGTTAAAAAAAAAAACCAGCCCAAGCTTCAAAGAACTAAAGAAAATCCACGAAGCTGTGAAGTTAACAGACATCCTCTCTATGTAACGGATAGATATAGACTACCATCCCCTTCCCCAAAGCAATAATAAAAAGAAGTAACCACAGGAAGGAGACACAATATCTGAACTGCACTATCAACTGCCTTGACCTCAACTCATATTTACAGAAAAATATATTCAACAACTACAAAGTTAAAGTACTCATGGATGTCACCAAGACAGACCCTCCTGTGTAATATGTTTCTATTTGTATAAGAAGAAAAATAAAAAAAAAAATACATTCATGTTTGTATATGAAGACGAAAACTCTAAGAACATATAGAAATTAATTATGATGTTATCTGCCTGTGTTTAGTAAGTGGGAAGCTGGAAGGCAGAAGACAGAGAAGAAACATTTTTCAAACACGAGAATGAATTATTTACTCAAAACATTAAGCCAACTGAATGAAATGGCATATGAAAAACACAATCAAAAGATATTATGTGTTAAAAACCTCAGAACAAATATGACCAGAAATCTTGTGAGAGTGATCCCCCACCCCCACTGGCAATTGCATTTTATTTTATCTTTAAATATATATGAGAATGATTTTTTTCCTAAGGAAATGATCAAGGGTATGCACAGATTGAGCTGTAAGAAATTTGTCAAAGCACCAAATTTTTTTAAAAATATTTTTTTAGTTGTAGATAGACTTAATACCTTTATCTATTTATTTATTTATTTTTATGTGGTGCTGAGGATTGAACCCGGTGCCTCACACATGCTAGGCAAGTGCTCTACCACTAAGCCACAACCCCAGCCCTAACAAAGCACCAAAAATTTTTAAAATTGCGATTGTTCACCAATAAGAGATTAACTAGGGCTGGGGTTGGTACATTAACTATAGCTCAGTTGGTAGAGTACTTGCCTGCCACCCCCAAGACCCTGGGTTCAACCCCCAGCACCAAAAAAAAAAAAAAAAATAACTATCCAACTATACTATGGCACTTCCATGAATGGAATGTTATGCACTCATGAAAATGACACTGTAGAAAACGTAATGTCAAGTAGTGATCTCTTTTAGAGAGAAAGGCACAATGAAAGAGCTAGATGTATGGAGGAAAAAACATGATTATTTTGGGGTTATGGAAGTGTAGGTGAATTTATCTTCCTTTACATATCTTCTGGTTTTCTAAAATAAGCGTTATTTTTAATAAAAATTATGAAATTCATTTTTTTAATATTTATTTTTTAGTTATAGTTGGACACAATACCTTTATTTATTTATTTTTATGTGGTGCTGAGGATTGAACCCAGGGCCTCACACTTGCTAGGCGAGCGCTCTACCACTGAGCCACAACCCCAGCCCAAAATTCATTATTTTTAATAAAAAAAAAATTTTAAAGACATAAAGAAAGAAAATGCTTTACTTTCCTCTCATTTTTCAATAAACTTTTTTCTCTGCACGTACCAGTTGACTTTGTGTTGCATGACTCTCTTTTTCAACAGAGGACTGGTCCCTGAGGGGTCCCAGACTTTGAGGAGGGACTGATTCAGCTGGCTTCTCCGCACATCCTGAAGAGGCCACATCTGGAGCAGCTGCGTGTGGCTGTGTACTTACTTTCTCTGCCAACTTAACTTTTCTTCTTACGTTATCTTCTTCACTGCTTTCCGACTCACTAATGGGCTTGAGTTTTCTTGGCTATGAGGAAAACAGCATTACTGCCTTAGAAAACACAAATGCTTTTGATTCTTATTTTAATAGAAAACTACAGAGTTCACATTTCTCAAACTTAAGAACTGAACCTAATAGGTAAATGGCGACATGATCAATGGCTAGGACAGACCTAGACTAAAGACCACTGATGCCCCAGAATTCTGTCTTTGTAAATCACAAACTAATCACTAAAGTGTGTTTAATATAAATGCCATGAAAACTGACTAGGAACATAGAGATTTGAGACTTCTTTAGTAAAATATACTTCAGTTATAAAAATACTTCGTTTTATTATAAAAGTATTTTCTTTTTTAAAAAAATATTTTTTAGCTGTAAATGGACACAATATCTTTATTTTTATTTATTTTTATGTGGTGCTGAGGATCGAACTCAGTGCCTCACACATGCGAGAGCTACAACCTCAGTCCATAAAAGTATTTTCAAAACATACACCATCAGTGGAAAGTGTGGTTACAGAATATTTTCCCTACTTCCATCAAATCTAAATAGGAAATGAGATAGTTTACAGAACAGTTTTCTCTATTTGCATCCAATATAAATAAAGTATGATATACCTTACAAATTAAGAAGAAATAATACTCCTACATACCTTTTTTGCACTATTTTTTATAGATTCATTTTCACTTGCTTCATTTTCAGAAGTGTTTGAGCTGTGCCAAAGAACAAGGCATCAGTATCTTGTACACATTTGACTTTTTTTTTTTTTTCCTTTTGTGGTGCTGGGGATTGAACCCATGGCCTTGTGCATGTGAAGCAAGCACTCTACCAACTGAGCTATCTCTAGCCCCACATTTGACTTTCTTTCATACTTCTTCTATAATTTGTTCATCCAACATGAAAACAGGCTCATTTAATGAGAAGATATCTACTCATCATGGCGAGGCCTGTCACCTCCCAAGCTGTTGCCCACAGCTTCCCAAACCCAGGCTACATCAGTTTATCCTAGGCAGGCGAGGATCAGTGGTCCATTACTTGAACACTTTGTGGTATGTCTGAGGGCACCCCTCCTTCTAAGGAACCACATCCAAGAACATGGACCATTGTTGGTACTAAAAGCTAATCCACAAGGCTCATCGTTAGGTGATAGAAAAGGAAATAGCTTCTTTTATCCTTGGCAAGGAAAAATAACCCCAACTTCTGATGAGAAGTGAGAACTTTTTTTTATCTTTTTATCCAATTCAATACAACAAATGTTTCACATCATTCAAAAAAGGCAAAGTGTGATGCATACAACTACTTTAAAAATCAGAGCACCACCTTCCTTTATAGGGTTCACTGCCTGGTAGGAAAGCCAAAGGCGGTGCAAAAGGATAACTTGGCAAGCACCCAACAGAGAAGATGTGTACACCTGACTAGGGAATTAGGAAAGGCAGCATGGCTGGGACACTTGAGTTGACTTGTAAAAATACTTTTCTAGGCATAGTAGTATGAGGATGGGCATTTAGGTAGAAGAAATATGAATGTAAAAGCATGGTGGTTTAAAACAGCCTGGCATATTCGAGAAACAAAACAGTACAGAAAGAATGTGTTGTTCCAGAGAAGAAAATGCTAGGAAAGAAGTCATGGGATATAACTGGAGAAGACAGAGAGAGCCCCAAAGGCAGGATGCTCAGATCTCCCTACAGTTAGCTGGCAGCCTTCAGACAGAGTCCTGGGATCCCCTGAAGCATCTATGAGCAGTCTTGGGCCACTAACAGCATGATGAGGGTTCTTGGGCCTGGTCATCTCTGCCTAGTATAGTTGTCCCTCAACAGGCAACCTTTCCTCCAGGGTTCCCTGGGAGGTTAGCCAGAACCATCTCTGGCCAATCTGATTCACCCAACTTCAACTTTCACAGATGTTTTAACAAACCTCTTCCATTCCTTCTTTTTTTCAGTATCTACTTATCTAAGGATCCAATCTGGCACAGGGGCCTTCCATGCCATGCAAGTGGTCAATGGAGAGCCCCTAAAATGTGGTAGGAATAGAGATAAGAGTCCATCTGGGAACTAGAGGAAACAGAGGAGAGGGTGATTCAGGAGACAGGGGGACCTGGCAGGAAACAACTGCAGGGAGCATGTGAGAGTGGCCTGTGACAGCAGCTGCAGGGAGATGGCAGAGGCATGAAGACCAGAAGCAGTAAGATTCATGGCACAGAACATGCCAGAATGATTCCCAGATGGCTGGATTTTACGTGACTGGATGGACAGCAGGATCATTAATCTAGAAAACACACAAGGAGTTTGTTGACTCCTTGAAAAGGCTGGAGCTCAGTTTTGCCTTTTGAGTCTGAATGCCTGTGGGCATCTAGGGAGATAGGAGCAGGACATCCTTCTCCACCCTCCTGGAGCAACACAGCACCAATCCCTGCTCAGGAAGAAAGCTGGACAAGAGAGACGGACTCAGGATACAATGGCATACAGGTAGTTAAAACCATGTAAGTTGGGGGTGGGTGGCAAAGAGAGGGCTAAAAGCAGGGCCACCTAAACCTAAGACAGGGAAGGAGAAGTTAAGGAAGAAGACAACTGAAAGTCCCTTGGGAGGATCTGAAGGACTGGTGGCTGCCATCTCCATGAGTCCTAGGAAATGCTGCTGATCTCTCCCCCCAGTGCCCCCTCCTGCCCTGACTTCCTTTTGTATTATACATAAATCTTGTCTTATGGTCCCAAATGATGTCTTTTGTTTAGACTTAGCAGGAGACCAAAACCAAGGTTACCAAGAACATCCTCCTCATTAATGGACATGTCAGCCCTCACCCTACTCTGCTTCCTAGCTGCATTTGTCACCTGCTTATTCTCTCTCTCTTTTTTTTTTTTAAAGAGAGAGAGAGAGAGAGAGAGAATTTTTTTAATATTTATTTTTTAGTTATCGGTGGACACACCATCTTTGTTTGTATGTGGTGCTGAGGATCGAACCCGGGCCGCACGCATTCCAGGCGAGTGTGCTACTGCTTGAGCCACATCCCCAGCCCCTGCTTATTCTCATTCTCTCTCTCTCACACAGACACCAGTACTTTTGTGAATAAACCCTCCTTGTTTTTTCTTTCTCCTCTTGCTACCTTTTCTCTCTCCCCCTTTCCTTTACCTGGACAGAAGATGCTGGTTGTCTTTTTGTTGTTGTTGTTTTTTTGGGGGGGAGGATGTCAGGGATTGAACCCAGGGCCACTTAACCTCCGAGCCATATCCCTAGCCCTTTTAAATTTTTTATTTAGCGATTAGAGACAGGATCTCACTAAGTTGCTTAGGGCATGGCTAAGTTGCTGAGGCTGCCTTTTAACTCAAGATCCTCTTATTTCACCCTCCCGAGCCTGAATTGAGATTACAGCATGCACCACAGTGCCTGACTGTTGCTGGATTTTCTTGCCATCTCAAAAGTGGGCTTCGTACCATCTATATACAATAACTTCAGTTTCCCTCCAGCTTAGCCTTCTACTCTGAGCTCCAGACTCAACAGACAATGGTCTCTTTGACCTCTGCCTATCAAATCCATGATCTCCCTACAAAACTCAATCTCCTAGCAACCCTCATCTTTGTCAATGGCACCCCCAGCAATCCATTTATACAAGCTAGAAACCTGGGAGCTGCCTATGCCAGGAACTCTTCTCCACCCTCCTGGAGCAACACAGCACTAAGCCCTGCTGATGTGCTTTACAACTCTGCTTGAGCTCCTCTCCATCTCTGCTGCAGTTACCCTAGTCCCTGCACCGACTATTAAAACAGACTCCAAACTAGTCTGTCCATTCCACTCTTGCCCCTTTTATATCCATTCCTCACATGGGAGTAGGAGAGATCATTTTAAAGTGCAGGTTTGATCATGTCACTCTCTCCTTAAAATTCTTCAACTGCTTTTAGGATAATGGCAAAACTCTTTACCAAGTTTATTAGATAGGAGTAGTATCGATGTAAAAATAGAATATGGCTGAAACAAGACACTTTCTTTACCTCTTAGCAAAACTTCAGAAGCAACTTAGGGCTGGTATAGCAGCCCCGTCATCAAGATGCAGTTTCCCTCTATCTTACTATCCCATTTCTTAGTACAGTGCCTTATGGTCCGAGAGAGAGACATTATTGTAAACCTAGAGTCTAATACAGAGGTACCTAGTCTATGCTCAGTAAATGCTTGTGGAAAAAACAATAATAAAAATCTAACATTTGAACGTTTACTACATACCTATCTGTTTGAAGAACTTAAGGGGATGAATTCGTCTGAACTGCAGAAGGTAGGTTGCATTACCATCCCACTTTCCAGATGAAGGAACCTGGAGGTTAAATGTCTTTCCCAAGGTCAAATACTTGGTAGTGGCAGAAGATCTGAACCCAGCACAGTGGGTCCAAGGTCAGTCACCTTAGCCATGTCACTACACTGTACACAGGAAGATGAATTCAAATATTCACAGAGTGTGTATCAGGTGCCAGGTTGAGTTCTAAGAACCTGATGTACAGCAATGAACTGTAGAACTAAGTCCTACTCTGTCTTAAGTTTCCATTGTGGACAGAGACAATGAACCAATTAAAACATAAGAATTAAATATTGGTTGGGTAGAGGTAAAAGCTATGAGGAAAAAGAGTAAAGATGAAAGAAGGTGGTATTTTCTGGGAGGTACTGGAAGACTGCTTGATCTGGTGGTGCCTGAAATCCCAAAGGAAGCATGCAAAGATAGTGGGCCACCCAGTCACAAAGAGTAGAACCTGCAAAAGCCCTGAGGTAGTGTATATTTAGGAATTTGAAGATCAGCAAAGAGGCCAAACCAAAGTAGGGTTGTTTTTTATCCCAGGAATGCAATGCTTTAATACAGAAAATCTACGATGAAGGTTAAATAGTAAGACACCTAATTTTTATAATAGATGAATTGCAATATAATTCACAACTCATTATTAAATATACCATCAAGAAGATATTCTTAGAAACATCTTTAGTGTTCAATATCAAACACAGTATTTGGCATAGAATAAATGCTTAATTTCTAAAACTGAATTAACTTAAAAACATTAATGTAAGAAATTCATAGCTTTCACATAAACGATCAACCACAACTGAGAACATAAAATGGAAGACCCCATTTATATAAATTGCCAAATACAAAAAAAGACAAATTACTTGGGAATAAACTTAGGAAATATGCAAAATCTGTAATAAATAAAACTTAGAATAGCACTAAAGAACACAGGGCCATTGAGCAAAGCCAAGACATTTGCTTATCATGACACCAATATCCCTGCCCTCTAGTTTCTAAATTTAACTTGTATCAATAAAGACAACATGTTTCCTAGACAATCAGGTGTCAATTATGTCAATTATTATAATTATTATTAGTAATATCAATTATTGAAAAATTAAGTGGTTATATCTCTATTCTCTTGAGGAAGAACATAACAAATTGTCTCAAAAGATCTTGAAACAACTTTAGTTTTATTAGCTTCTATCTTAAAGAGTTGCTCAGAAATCCCATTAAGCACAAATAAACAAAAACTGCTTGAAATTTTACCATACCTTTTCTTTCCTTCTTTTCCTTGGGGAGTTGAAGGCATGGATGATCCACAGTGTTTGGAAAATTCTGCTTCATCAGCATATATAGCTGTGCTGTGTAACGGAGGATCTGTGAAACACAGACACAACCTTAAGAGTCTGGCTGTCTGGGAAGTATTTGAGTTTATTCCTTTACAGTGGAATACAAAATGTTTGTTGAAATGGCTGACAAGAGTTGAACACAGAGGTGCATGAATATAATCCCAGTGGTTTGGGAGGCTGAGGCAGGAGAATCTCAAGTTCAAAGCCAGCCTCTGCCACAGTCTGGCTGGGCACAAAATAACCAAGATGCCACGAGGCACTTGTAGGTTCAAACAGGAACTCCTTTATTGCCCGAACTCTCACCGGCACTCCCCGGGAACTCTCTCCGCCCTCAAGAGGGCTCCAGGAGAACTCAAGGGCCCGCGAGAACTCAAAAGTAGCGGGTGCCCAAGGCAGGCAGCAGGAGCCGCCCTATTGCCGGACAGCAGAGGTCTATATACAACTGAATACACAGCATCATCCAGTCACAGCAATTATACACAGCTTAACTTAATTATCATCATCCTAATGGCTCACTGGTGTCACCTCTCAACCACTCCTTCTGGCAAAATGCCAGGCGCCATCCCAACTCAGCTGTGGCTCTCAACAAGCCTTAGCAATGGGGAGGCACTAACCAACTCAGAAAGGCCCTGTCTCTAAATAAAATACAAAAGAGGGCTGGGGATGTTGCTTGGTGGCCAAGTGCCCCCAGAGTTCAATCCCTGGTACAAAAAAAAAAAAAAGAAAAAGAAACAAAATGGCTGACAAGTTACAAATCAGTTACACAGGCCACTTTCCAAATTTTTTGAAAAAATATTTCTTTTAGATGTTGATGGACCTTTTTGTTCATTTATTTATATGCAGTGCTGAGAATTGAACCCAGTGCCTCACACACACTAGGCAAGCACTCTACACTGAGCTACAACCCCAGCTCCTCCAAATGTTTTTGATATCACACCTCAATAAAAAATTTTAACCATAACACCAGTAACTACCTGGATATTTAAATTATAAATCTGCATTCCTGTATTTATATATTAATGGGAATATTTTAATTTTATATATATATATGAAGAGGAAATCTAATATTTTATTTGCTCACCCCTCTGGAACATTATATGCTCTATTCAGGAGACCACTGCATTTATTATAAATTCTACATGTTTAGGGTGGTTGGTCTACTCCTGGGACTATTACTCACTAAATTCCTAGCATTTGGTGGGCACTCAACATTTGTGAATGAATGCCCTTTGGGGAAAGATGTCAGACCTCCTCATTTCTCTTTCTCTTTTCTTTACTCTGGATTTAGGTAGTATAAAAAAGTAAACTTAAATGAGGAAGGAAAGGACTGGGAGATATAGCTCAGTGGTAGAGCGCTTGCCTAGCATGTGCAAGGCCCTGGGTTCAATTCCCAGTCCAGGAGAAAAAAAGAGACAAAGAAGATTAAAGAGGAAGAGATCAAATGGCCTTGGTGGAAAGGCAAAGAAAGGAAATGCTATAAGAGGAGGATGTTCCCACTTGTTCAGGAAAGAGGAGTAATGGAGTCAGTACACTGGGTGGGGCTTATGGAAAGGACAGCAAACTTGAGAGGGCAAGGGAGGTGGCCAGTAGTGACAAACCTGGGATTGCTGCAGGAGCGGGCGGGAGTGTGGGAGGGAGTTGTGGGGGGTGGTATCTGGTAAGAGCCAGGAAACCATGATTTCATGCTCAAATTTTAGCAGGACAGTGCAAACAAACTTTTCTAAACAGCTAGCTGCTTAAATAAGGAGCATATCAACTTCACAACAGAAGTTAGTAATATATTCTGTACTGGTCCTGTGGATTAAATCAATGAGGGAAGGGAGAAAAATAGATCAATCCCTAATTTCCATATGTAACCAATCATATAAGATGAATTCCTACAACTTAAACAACAAAACAATCCAATTTTAAAATGGGCAAAGAGTTTGAATAGACACTTCTTCAGTGAAGATATACAGTTGGCCAATAAGCACGTTGAAAAGATGCTTGACATCATTACTCATTAGGGAATGTAAACCAAAACCATGAGATACCATTCTCAACCCTGGGGATATCTATTATCAGAAAAAAGAAAAAACCCAGAAAATAACAAACATAGTGAGGATGCAGGGAAATTGGATCTCTGTGTGTCCACATGGTGCAGCCACTGTGGAAAATAGCAAGGCAATTCCTCAAAAATTTAAACATGGAACTATGATAAATCCAGTGACTCCACTTCATCAAAGAAAAGCAAATAGGGAGTGACTAGTAACAGGTATGAGGTTTCTTTTAGGATGATAAAAATATTCTGAAACTACATATGGTAATAGCTGCGTAAATTTTTGAGAATATTAAGACAAGTGGATTTTAAAAACCTACAGAATCTTCTATTTTTAGATATTTTAGACAAGTAGCTAAAACAATTTTCTTAACTCATAATAAAAGATGTATTCTGTGCTAATTACTTGCTGCCCTGACCCGCACAGGCAGCTGAACTTAAGGTGGCTTGGTGTGAATTTCCAGGGACACCAACTAAAACACAGACACACACTTTACCTTTAAACAAGCTTCAGGACGGCTTCCCCGCTCTCGGCCTCAGGCTCCCCAAATGGGAGAACAAGAGAAAGTCACAAGAGGCTGGTGAGAGCAAGGGAGCATGTTTGGAAGTGGGCTCTTATTGGGGGGGACATTTGTTCTTAGAAAGTTCTATCCAAAAAAGGCCAGAAAGGGCAGGGTTACAAGAAACAGGTGAGTGTAATTCAACCCAAGGGATGACACCTATCGACCTCAACTTCCTGAGCTGGGAGGACACCCAAGTCACTATGAAATGGAGTGATCTGTCAGAGCCTATTGCTTCAGGATGGAAGGCACGGGTCATTCAGAGTGACTCCCCACAATTACTTCTCATTTTATTTCATCTTATGAAATATATATTTTCTTTTCTTTTTCTTCTTTTCCTTACCAGGAATTGAACCCAGGGACGCTTACTCACTGAGCCACATATGAGCCCTTTTTATTTTGAGACTGGGTCTAGCTAAGTTCCTGAGGCTGGCTTTGAACTTGTAATCCTTGTTGCCTCAGTCTCCTGAACCCCTGGGAATACAGGTGTGCGCCACCTGGCAGGAATATATATTTTGTTTCATGAAAAAAGTAGACTGAAAATTTTTAGAAGCCAAATAGAAAATATGTGAGATGGTAAATAAGTTTTCAAAGTTCTCTTAACACTTACTGCAGCAAAAATATCTGATTACCGCTGTTCTACATACAGGGGCCCTTGGCACTTCATCATTTTTGGTCTCTGGACTGGTCATTGACACATTGAGACACAAATAGCCCATTGGGACAGCTCATAGATTACTGGCCAGCCATGTATCAGCCCTATTTACCTCACACTAAGGAACACAGGTGAAGTTCTTCTTGGTTCCTTTGAAACATTCCTGCCTCATGAGTTTACGATAAAGGAAAAGTCCCTCTACTTTTCCTCTTGAAGGTCCTTATATAGTGGTATGATGTGAGAAATATATTTTATATTAATCTTGTTACAAAGTAACATAGTATCCTGATATGAATAGAATATTAATGAATGTTAATAGAAGAGTTCTACTTTGATGATGTTCTTTTTTTTTTTTGGTACCCCAGGGATTGAACTCAGGGGCACTTGACCACTGAGCCACATCCCCAGCCCTCTTTTGTATTTTATTTAGAGACAGGGTCTCACTGAGTTACTTAGCGCCTCACTTTTGCTGACACTAACTTTGAACTCATGATTCTTCTGTCTCAGCCTCCAGAGCTTCTAGGATTACAGGGGTGTGCCACCGCACCTGGCTTGATGATGTTCTTAATTTCAATGTATGATAAAAATTATCAAGTATTCTCCAAAACGTTGCATTTAAATGCAGGTTACATATTTGAAAATACTTCTGTATTTTTGTTGTACCTAACATAAATGTTTTAAAGTTATTTTAGGATAAAGATTTAAAATACTCACCAAAGGTTTCATAAGGTTCATCATCTTTCTCATTTTCACCAAGGCTGCCAATACTTGAGATGTCAGAATTATCAGCAAAGTCAAATGTATCATTAGGCCTGTGCTTTTGACCAGCTTTCTAAAAGTGAATAAAATCAAAGTCTTTGAATTGGTGCTCACAACCAAAGAAAATTACAAAGCCAATTTATTTAGCAAGGATACTCCTGCTATCAGTGCTACCTAAAGAAGCAATCCTTGGGCTGATAGCTCAGGGGTACAGCGCTTGCCTCACACATGTGAGGCACTGGGTTTAACCCTCAGCATCACAGAAAAATAAATAATGACATTGTGTCCATCAAAACAAACAAACAAACAAACAAAAAAAGCAATCCTGGGGATATAGACGCCTTTGATAATAATAAGGCAGGGTTGGCAAACTTTTTCTAAAAGGAACTAGAAAGTAAATAATGTAGGCTTTTACAGGTTACTAGATTTCTGCTGTCCCTACTCAGCTCAGTCACTGAAGTGTGAAAGCAGATAGTGGAAATGCAGAAAAAAAGGAGTTTAGCTGCATTCCAATACAACTGTACTCATGGGCACTGTAATTTGAATTTTAGATCATTTTCACAGGTCACAATGTTTGTCATCGTGTGCAGAGTCCTAGGCTCAATTCCCAACACTGCAAATAAATAAATAAATACCTTTCTTATAAAAACGCTTCTTAGCTTGCAAGGCTGTACAAACACAAGTGGCAGGTCAGTTTTGGCACACATGCTTTACAGTTTGCCTAAATCTCTGATCTAGGGAAGGCTATGGGCTCTCTCCCCCAGAAATATGTCATATACCCAAAAGTTCATTAACATTTCAAAGGCACAAAGGGAAAAATCTCCTGGCCCTAGGACAGACCAGGGTTCACAGTTCGACCTATTTGTAAATCCATGAAGTTTGCTATCCTAAATCCTAATGAAAGACCCAAACATACATAAGATGAGGAAAACTTCCATGGAAGCATGGAAGATGTAGAGGGATACTATTAACAGATAAGAAAATTCTGGAAGACACACAGGAGACACAAAAAAACCAGCAAATGAAACAAAAACGTCACCACTCATAGACCTCAGTGAAAGAACCATTCATGGAATACTTGGTGGTGGAATGCCACAAAAGAGGTGCCACTCTAAGGCAAAGGAGTCCTCCTTTGCCTTAGAGTCACTTGTTAGGCAGGCTGCCTTGCAGAGGGAAGAAGACGGGAGAAGAAGAAATCCATTCCAGGCATTAGGAACTTTCAACTAAGGCAGCCTGGGATCAGAGCTAAAAAGCTTAGAGAAATCCCTCCCAAGGCACACTGGACTTCGGCTACCAGGAGTAGCACGTAGGACAGGAGAGCTGAGAGAAATCCATCCACTGAGCAGGTGAGCCAAGGCTGGGGTGGGAGCAGAAAGCAAAGCACAAGTCCACAGAGGATCCCGGAGTTTCATGAGGAATCTAAGTGTCATCCTCTGATGGCTAGGATCAGGACAGAGACAAGACCACTTAAGACAGACAGGAGGGGCAGAATAGAGACCAAAAAGAAGCCTCAACTTCATGCAACCTGAAAAGTAGGTGCTTTTCAGGGTGAATGTGAAATACCATAGGCAACCAGAAAAGCCACTAGAGAATAATTTGGAATCAGCTACCATGGGCATTAAAGAAATGTACCTACCTTTAACCGATTCTAAAACTCTCTCCTGAAGAAAGATAAAACTATATGGGGACTAAGTGGAATGTCATAAACAAGTGTTGAAAACTGTAACATGGAAAAATTGCTATGTATGAAAAATGGCAAAATATATGTGACACAATTTTAACATGATGTCAATTATCTGGATGAAAATAAAATCAATTTAGCCATAGGAAAAAAAGCCCTTTCTAAAATGTTAACAAAGGTTATTTTTCTCCATCGTATTGGAAAAAGTGGAAGCAAAGAAATATATTTTTTCCCAATAATAAAACAGAGTTTACCAAGAGAGGTCTACAAAACAGGTTCCCACAAAATGTTATTTTGTTTTGTCAACAGTGAGAAAATTACACTAAAATGTAAAAAGATAACTTACGTCTTTCATGGGATGTGTTCTTCCCAATTCATTCTTTGAATATCCTGCACTATTAAACAGAAAACACACACATGAAAGGGAAAGTTAGTAAATGTGTTAAGTAATTGGGGAAAACACTGTAACTTGTGACACTTTCCAAGCATTTTCTTTCCAAATTACATTCCTCATTAGTTGAATTAATAGCATGCATCCAGTGGAATTTAGGTTATGGCAAAATCCTTTTTAGCAAGCAGAACCTGTATGCCACAAATTTAACTGTATTTTTATAGGTCAAATCATATCGCCAATTTATAAAATAACACTTCTCTCTCTAAAGGAGGTGGAGAACTCCTAATCCTGCTGTTATTCTGTCCCTGAAGTCCTCATCAATCAACAATGATTGATTATCTCTGCACAACTGAGCCAAGAGGAGGCATGCGAACATTTACTAGGCACGTAACACCTGTTCCAACCTATGCCTGGCTATTGTACCTACATTTCTTCATTTAACTCTAACAGTCCTTTAAGGTAGAAGCAAATCCCATGCTACAGATGTACACTTGCCCAAAGCAATACACAGCCAGGATGGAAAGAAGCCTGCATTAAAATCTACATTACTTCCAATCTAAAGCCTGCCTTCTTTACAACCCTTAATATTCCTTCATGGGGCACTGAGGTTAAAAAGGATAAAGCTGCATAATTTCAACAAGCTTAAAGTAAACAAATGTAACACTAGTGACTATAATAATAACTAGAAAAAACACTGACAGGAAAAACATTATATAGTAGTATATTATTAATAGTAACATTGTCAGTTGACACTGAATACTTACGGAGAATCCTCCACATACCAGGCACTGCAGAGTGGTACCAGGGGATACTCTGGTATAATACAGTACGTAGGCTCTGACTTTAAAATACGTCATGCAGATTACACCTGAAATTTTCAAATACTCATTTGTCGGTAGACAAATCAGTATTTCTTTGAGTATTTTTTTTGTGTGATAGACTTTCAAACTTAAAAGTAATAAAAACACACTCAGTATATTGTTTACCCCGATCCAACAATTGTTTACATTTTGTCTCATTTGCTTCCTCTGTTGTGGTGTGTGTCTATAGTAAACTGAAGACACTGCACCCTTAATCCTGAGTACTTCAACATGGCTTTCCTAAAGAGGGAATTAACTTGAATAATCATAATACAATTTCTAAAATCAAGTAATTCAACACTGACATAATTATCGGTAGTTCATTTTATTACCCTATAATATTTTAAAAGATTTTTCATCTTAGCATTTTTTTTAAAAAGTACAGAATAGAGATATGAGATTGCACTGGGTATAGTACGTTTTTATAAATATTTTTTTATTTGTTTTAGGGTATAGTACTTTATTAATAAACTTTTTGTTATGTGTGTACTATATGATGTAAAATATCATTTCTGTGAATCACTGAAAAAGAAAAAATTGGAAAACTGTTTAGAGCAGTGATTTTCAGACTTTAGCAGGCATGAGCATGACGTAACAGGCTTGTAAAACAAAATTGCTTGGAGTCAACCCATCCCTAGCCCAGTGTCTGATTTAGTAAACCTGGGGCGAGGTCTGGGATTTTGCATTTCTAACAAGTTCCAGGCTTTGATTCTCAAAACCTGGTAGAAAGTTTTACGGCAATTTTACAGACTATCATTCTAGGGTTCAGAAAAAGTAAATGTTCAATGATCACACAGTCAAGTAACATAAATAAGTCTAAAAACTAGAATCTCCTAAGTTTCTTAATCTAAACTATTTCATCTGCCTGGGCTCAAACATCCCATCAAGGATCCTCCCTGCTTTAGGCTGGATTCTAGGTGGGGCTTCCAAAAGATGGAAACATCTGTGATAACCATATTTAAGATTCTAAAGTATGTGCATCTGTGTATGAACACATTTCATGAATCTCAACCCTCATCCCCCTAAACGGGGGTGGGGGGGGGGACTACTGGCCTATTAAGAAAAGTTTAACCGTTTTCAGCTAAGGTGCCAGGCTACTCTATTCTCTTCTATTTTTCTCAACTGGTTACAAGCATCTACTCATGGCTGTGCCCTGCTCCATCCCCACACAAACGACGCCTTCTCCAGCGGGTGGACCCAGGATCTGGAGGAACTCTTGGGGGTGCGGTCTTGGGAGCGTTCCCTTAGCAACCTGCTAGCCTGGTCCAGACAAGGCCTTGGATGCGCTTTAGACATCGCCAGCAGGGCACTCGCCAACGCATCCAATAAAAATTAATCTTTTAGATCAATTTTTTGCAATCTATTTTTAAGTGCATGGCCCCTTTTGATAAAAATAAGTGGCTTGATCCACTGTGGAATGGCATTTAATAATAACAAGCGGCAGCTTAGTCCTCCAGCCAGAAATTTGGTTTATCTGTAGTTTCTACTACAAAAACAGCTGCGTTTGGAAAATAAGAGTAGGGACGCCCAGCCAGAGTGTAAACTTCCCTCCATGAGGTAACGTCTGGCAAATGAAAGGTACTTCCAAGTATTTGCTGCATATTTTGTTTGAACTACTCTGAGACTCACACACACAAAGCAATACTACCACTAGCTAACGTTCTCCCTCCTGCCCACTGTTAACTCCTGCAATCTCACGATAACCATAAACACCGGGGCTGTTGCTACCCGGGTTTTACAGAAGTGGAAACAGACCCTGAGTAATCACTCGGATAAGTTTCAGTGGCAGCAAGAACAACTCCGCGTGGTACAGACCACGTCAGCGGAAAACAAAGTCGGTCCAGGCCTGGGGTTCCGCCGCACTTACCCTGCCGGCGCCGGGGACCTAACCCGCCAATGCAGAGCCATGGGGCTCGTTCCTGAACCCGCCAGATCCACGAAACTCCCGCCGAGCTCCGCGCTGCTTAGACCAGCCAATCAGGACCGAGCATGAGCACAAGCCCCACCCAGGCCTCTTCCCGGGGCGGGCCCAGGACCCATTCCCCGGCCCCGCCCCCGGCCCCGCCCCGCCTGGAGCAAGAGAGAAAACCCGGAGCGAGAGAGAAAACCCAGACGCGTCGAAAGACCGCAACTGAGCCGGAGACCACGCCTCTCAACCTGATGTTAACAGGACTTTCACTCTCACCAGGGATCCCGCACCAGTTTTTAAGAGCTCCAAAGCCCTGAGACCTTGAGGGCGGGGGGTGGGGGGGAGGAAGGTGGACTGTTTACGCGAATCAGAGGGTGGGCCCAGGACAAAAAATGAGGAGTCCAAATCCAATTGAGCCGCCTGCGCTGGAGTCCTACCGCAGTTGTCTAGTGTAATGCATTGGAAATGGACAGGGTTTGGCTTTTAGCTCCCTGCTGCTTTTGGTTGTGGGAGTTTGGCATGCTCTTTCTTACCCAAAGCTATGAATTTTGTAATCATCCAGACTTGTATGCAACATCTATATAGCTAGTGGTAGTTCATTCACTTTCATTATCCTTGAAAAGCACTAAGCAAATAAACCATTTTATTTTTTTTTTATTTTGTTGTGCATGGATACATCAATTTTAGTGTTTTGCTACTATCAACAATGCAGAACTCAACATTCTTGTGCAAAACTTTCAGGCCATGTGTCTAAATGTTTCTCTAGGGATGGAATTAGTAGTAATATCACTGCTATGTAGGCTACATTTTCAACTTTGTATGATATGCCATTTTTACGCATTGTTTTGTAGACTGTACAATGTATACTCTCACCAGCAGTATTCACATATTGTAGATACTTAGAATTTTCAAGACTTTTACATTTTGCCTATCTAATAAGTTGAAATAGTATCCTGTTGTATTCCCGATTTTCATTTCCCAGAAGTAAATCATCTTTTCATTTTTTTGTAGGTGATTCCTGCTACCTCTTCAGAGAAATGCAGGTTCTCTTTACCCAGAAATCATTTGGGCAACTGCCATTGAAAGATAAATCACCTTTGTGATATTGAAGGAAGTTTCCCACTGATGCATAGAAACAGGTTTTCTGGATAGATTGGAAGTTTTTACCCTTAGGAGAGTGGACAGGTAGTTCCATTTTCTGGGAAAGGGTGGTATAGTCATTCAAACCTTTTGTGCTTGCAGATCTGAGAAAAGAAATTGCTCAATTGTTAAGACAGGAAGAGATTTCGTACTCTGGGTGGAAATAAAAATTTAACCCAAATAGGTTTAAATAATAAAAGGAAATTTTGAGCACATGTCACTGAAAAGTTCAGAAGTGTTAAGCTCAGTTTAATCCAGAGGTTTGAGAAGCAATCTGGGTTTGGACTTCAGTTTCTTGTCTTCCTTCTACATTAACCTTTTCCTTAGGCTGAGTTTTCTTGTCATCAATATCATCAGTATTGCCTGGATTTCCTAGATATTTACAATGATTCAGGCATTATTCTGAGTATTTAGTATCTATTAACTTGTTGAATGCTCTCAATAATCCTATGTAGTTGGTAATCACTAAATCCCAATTTATAGATTCTAAGAAGCAGTCCCACCACTTGCTAGTGGTGGTACCTGCGCTAGACCCCGAGTCTGGGCCAGAACTTGCACCCAGCAGCCATTCCAAGTCTCATATCTGAGTTCTACCATTCATTGAGAGAGCCTTGCTGTACCACAGTATTCTCAGAAAAAAAAAGACTGGCACACATACCTGTATTTTCCAGGATTCTCTGGAAAAACAGAACCAGTATTTATGTGAAAGGGAGACCGAGATTGATATGCTTTAAAGAATTGTCTCATAAACTGGAGAACGGGCAACTCCAAAATCTGTAGGGAAGGCCAGCAGGCTAGAAATTCAGGTAAGTATTGGTGATGAAGTTTTGAGTCTAAATTCTGAAGGCAGCAGACTAGGAACTCAGGTTTCTCTGAGAGCATTCCTTTTCCAGGAAACCTTCGTCTTTTTCTCTTAAGGCTTTTAACTGGATGAGGCTCACATACGTTATGAAGAGTAATCTACTTTATTTACTCAGAGTCTAATAATTTAAATGATAGTTATATCTAAAAGTACCTTTCAGCAACATCTAGAGTGATGTCTAACCAACCAGCTGGGCACTGTAGCATAACCACATTGGTGCATAACATTAACAATCACACTATTCTGAACCAATCCTGTGGCCAGGGAAAAGCAATATGTTCTATAGCTTCCTGGAACCATATGAATTCTCACTGCAATTCAGGAGGTGGGTGGGAGGGATGGATATTGGGAAAGGGAAAATAGAAGCTTCAATGACAGATAATTCAAGTCTATGGCTGAAACTTGCCCAAGACTATAGAGCTAGGGTTGTAGTCAAGGAAGCAAGAATTTCAGTCTAGGTATTATTCTCCACCCAAACTCATCTTTGTTCCCCATCATGCCGCTTTCTCAGTTAAACTATCAGCTTAGGACAGTGACTCTCAAGTTGGGTGAGGAGAAAGCAGAGGGAAAGGGAAATTCTGGGATCTCTCTGGTGGATGTAGCATGATAAACCAAGACAGAGCTGTCCTAGGAAGAAGATGCCTCATTTGCTCTGGCCTGAGGTTATGTGAGAACCATGCCAAAGAATTTGAAGCAGAATAGCAATTTCATAGTTTCTTTTGGCCATCTGTATTGTTGAGGATGAAAAGCCGAGCACCTTCATGAGCTTCTGAGTAAGTAAAGGCAGGGGTGGAACCTAGTTGGGGAGAGAGATGGATCACAAAAAGGCTCATTATAAGGCATTCTTGGAAATGTAGGGGCTGGAGGCTGGCCAGTTGGTAGAAACTCCAGTGAAGGGAAGAGGAGGGATCCAGCAGACAGAAGCTACAGCCAAGGAAGTTTCCAGCCAACGAGAAATGCCTCACAAGAATAGTGATTACTTTGAAACGGAAGCTGTGACAGTATTTTCTGTTTTTTGTTTTGTTTTGTTTTTTAAGATGGAGCCCATGTTGTGCTGTGCTCTTTCCACCAAAGTTACTTTTGCAGATGTTTGCCAAGCTCATCCATCTTGTATGGATGTCTAGGGGGGTGGTGAAAAATGAAGGATATTCTTCAGGATGGGTTGAAGCATATATGTGGGAAGAGGGCTGAGGATATTGGAGTGGAGAATGTGGGGTTATCCCTACTCTAGGACACCTAGAACAAGATGACCAACTTCTGAGAGACCTTGAAGATTTCTTAGAATAGGTCACTTCAGGATGCTGGAGGACATCTGAGTGATGGTCCTTAAATTATATAAAATACTTTCATTTTGGGAAATGGGAAAGAACCCCTATTGCCTATTATAATACAAACTACAGAAAATAAAAGAACTATAAAACTTCTTGGATGCTTAGGATAAAGTGAGTGAGTGGATATGAACCTTTCCCTATGGACATATAAGCTTCCCTGAGGAATAGATTGATGTATATTTTAGTTCTATGTTTTGGAATTATTAGTTTGATGTTCAAATAAGAGTATTATTTATCTTAAAGAATTATCATGAAGATAAGAGTGAGGAACAGGTCCCTAGATACATAGAAGAACTTATCGTTCTTGAACCTGCCTCTGCTTTTTTTCTAGGGAGTTTTGTTGAATTTTCTGTTCAACACTGTGTCCACCAGAGGGCAGATAAAGAAAGGGACTGGAGACTTGAAAATGTAATGGGAGAACTGATCTACTCATTTTCAAACCTGTAAATATCAGTTTTAAAAAAATTGGTTCAAAGTCAGTTCAAGAAGATTAATAAGCCTAGAAGCTTTAACTGCCAATAATTAGCTCATTTTTCTTTTCACCTGATTTCTATTCTTCCATAATTCATCAAATCTGTTCTAGTTTCCCCTAAAGCAAAGACTCTGACTTTCTGTTGTGGAGAGGAAAATACTTTATTTCTCAAAATTTCCTACTTTGTTATTTACCTTCCTGTAGCACTTACTAAATATTGGGTAAACAGTAATATCTCACTCAACTTGCATTTCATTAAACTAAGGTAGTTATCTGTTTTAAACAGACCAACTGCTCAACATCTGTGACTATGACACTGCAAAACAAATCGAGATGTCCCAGGAGGGAAGGGGGCGGGGAAGAGGGAAGGAGGAGACTTTCTCTTGCTTGTTCCCTTTAAGAGGAAATGAGTCCCAGAAAGGAAGTCAGTGTCTTTTAAAGTTGGAGGGCAAGAAGATTTTCCATTGTAGCAAACTGAGTGACATTAGATTCCTTCACATGTCACATGCTCTTCAACAGTGCCCCGGCTCTCTTACCCAATGACTAAACTTATTTGCTCTGTAACTAATGTTGCCCTACTTTTTCCAGCCCTGACTGGCAGTGTTCCTGCCCAAGCTGAGATCACATGATTAAATAGGTCTGACCAGTATATCATAACCATTCAATGTCACGTGTTTCAGATTCCATTTCCAGCTCCCTGAAGGGCTGGGAGGAGCTGCTGTTGGAATCTTGGCAGGAGTATTCCAGCAAAATCCAGGACTTCTCTAGCCAAGGAATAGCAGACTTCCAACCTGCTTAGGAAATAATTTTATTATAACTCAAGCTGAGGTTAATGGGCCAAGTGAGCACTTAAGCTGAGAAAGAGAAAATAAAAATCAAAGGACACCTCAAGGAAAAAGACTTTCTTTGGGAAATAATGAAGGGAAAATTTTTTAAAAACATAAAATTTCTACTTACAGTTGTCTGTACAGCTCTCCCTCAAACTATCATCAGAAAAGAATTTTTTGAAAAAGTTTTCACCTTTTTAATGACCTTGGTTACTGTGATATTATTTTTGGTGGCCTGAGAATACACACAGGCTGGCCCTATTCAAAGGGTTCCCAGCAACCAGTGTCCTTACCTCAATAACTCCTGCTCAGCTGAGAAGGGACTAGTGAGACAGCCAAAGTCACCGTCAACAGACAGCACCCATCAAACAGGCTTCCCAGGTGACAGAACCATTTTGCCTAGAACGTTCCCTAGGAAGACATAGCCCCTGTCCCCATGCTTGGCTTCTGCCCTTTACCTTAGAGCTCACTCCCTCAGCCCTTT